GCGCGTGGCGAGACATGCGCATAGCAATATCGATCGCCGGGCGGTCACATCTTGCCACGCGCTCGAATTGGGCGGTAGGCCGGCCTAAGACAACGATTTTTAATAATTAATTACTCGTTAACTATTATGAAAATTGCAAAATGGTACAGGACTTTTCCGTTCATCTCGATCCGTTCTACCTTCTCAAAAATTTTGTCGGATATGGAAAGACTCACCCTGTATATCCGGTGAAATGTGTACATGCATAGTGAAGTCTATCAAACTTCTGGTTATGAAATATCGAGCTCTATCGTGATAACTAGAAATTCTGTTTGGTTCAACTAAAAACCATTCTATCATACATGTCTTGTTGATACAATGCATATTTCTCAGCGTAGGCATTGGTGTACACTGTACAGGATTACGGTCAGCGGTTTATCCCTCGTAATTCTTTGAAGATAATGCGACGCGGATCGACTGACAAAAAAGTGCACGGTTTAGATATCGTTTGTTTGCAGATCGCGCGATCAGGCGCGGCGGCACGAGACGAGTCCTGACGGTTATCGGCCGACATCCAACCTGCCCGGAGCAACACAATGACACGCGCGTCTCACGCGCGAGCAGATCCGCCGACGGGTGTCCGCGAAGCCGAGCGGTCGGCCAGGCGGCAGCCTCGGCTCTACGTGAGTATTGTACAATGAGAAATTCAATTTGGAGCGTTGGAATTCCGCGCGAATCGCGTCGCGACGTGAAACGCGACTCGACTCCGTAAAAAGGCCCGTCTCTCGCGCGGAATCGCGCCGCACCGCCGCGCGGCGAGGTGAGGGTTTTATCAGCCGTAACGGAAGCGCAATGCGAGAAGTGTCTCCGTTTAACGGTCTAAGCGCACCGCTAGAAGACGACAATACGGGCCGGCGCGCGGCGATACGACCGAGATGTCTATCGGCGTCGAATTCAACGTCTCTTTCCTGCTAATTAAATGTCAGTTTAAATACCTATGCCCGCGGGGGGTAAACCGCTGAGGGCATTCTGGTGTACAGATTTGCGGCATTACTAGGCATTTTTGGGGAATTAGTGGGTGTTATTTGGCTTTCCCGAGGCATTATACTCTCTAAGTTAATCAGTGGATTATCATTGAAAACAGTGAATAGTCACTGATTTGCAGTTACAAGTATACCACTGCAATGCAATACCTATAACTGTAAATCAGTGACTATTCACTGTAAATAAGTATATAAAAATTAGTATATCACTGCAATGCAATACATAAAACTGTAAATCAGTGACTAATCACTGTTTTCAGTGATAATCCACTGACGGACTTTTAGAGAGTAAAGAATCCAAAAAGATAAAATAAGAGATAATACGATAAAGTAATGCACACTGTCGAATTTTAGTGCATTAGTACTCTCTAAATGTCAGTCAGGGGATTATCACTGAAAACACTGTATAGTCACTGATTTGCAGTTACAAGTATACCACTGCAATGCAATACCTATAACTGTAAATCAGTGACTATTCACTGTAAATAAGTATATAGCAATTAGCATACCGCTGCAATGCAATACATTAAACTGTAAATCAGTGACTAATCACTGTTTTCAGTGATAATCCACTGACGAACTTTTAGAGACTTTTAGAGAGTAAAGAATCCAAAAAGATAAAATAAGAGATAATGAGATAAAGTAATGCACACTGTCGAATTTTAGTGCATTAGTACTCTCTAAATGTCAGTCAGTGGATTATCACTGAAAACAGTGGAATCACTGAAAATTGCAGTGGTATACTTACAACTGTAAATCAGTGACTGTTCACTGTTTTCAGTGATAATCCACTGATGGACTTCAAGAGAGTAAAGAGTCCAAAAAGATAAAATAAGAGATAATAAGATAAAGTAATGCACACTGTTGAATTTTAGTGCATTAATACTCTCTAAATGTCGAAAATCGCAGCGGTATACTTACAATTGTAAATCAGTGACTATTCGCTGTTTTCAGTGACAATTCATTGATTAATTTTTAGAAAGTAGGCATTGGTGTACACGATTTCGGCCCGCGGTTTACCCCTCGCCTGTTCCTAATTGTAATACCGCGGTATGAGAAAAAATGCAACGTAAAATTGTTTCCCTGTACGTACATTGCAGGTATATTCACTTAAAGAGAACAAACGAGAACGTAAAAGACGCTCGTAAAAAATGATCTAATCTTCAAGATTAAGAAATAGGTTGCCCACCGCCGTGAAGTATACTTTCTTCTTATGAAATCTTTCCGCGAGCATTATCCACGTGCAACAGTGCGATAAACCACTTTTCTTTCAGTGAGGATTAATCTACATTTTATGTCCCCGCGTGCAGAATCGATTTTTCCCGCGTTGTTAGAAAAGTGGGTCATTATCCAATTTTATTTATTCATTGACACAATACACGATAATATAGTATTAAGATCCAATCGATACTTGTTACGTGTTTCTTACTAAGAAAACGATTAAAATATTAATATTCAAATTACATCATCGGACAAATAGGTATAGAGCGACGATTCGAACGCATTTAGAGAATCTCTCTCGTCATGAGATTGAGCCGGTTGTTTCAATCTCGTGGTAAGTTAACTAATAGTTCAATCACGCGTGTCTTTGTTTTTCCTTCAAATTAGACAAAGACAGACATTTAATTCAACTATTAGTTAGCTTATAGGCTGAAAAAACCGAGTCTACTTACTCTCTAAAAGTCAATCGGTGGATCATCAGTGGATATTCACTGATTCACAGTTATATGAATTATTCAGTGTTATTCTCAGAGGAAAGTTCTCTATTATGAGACAGGCTGGTAATATAAGATAGCAGGTTCAACGTCCAAATTTAATCGCAAATCTTTATTTACGACGATCACACGATCCAACAATGAATTTTCCATTGAACAGATTTCACTCCAAGTGCAATAAATTAACGATGAAACCAATAGGTGACGCCTATTAATTTAGCAAAAACCCTGCTATCTTATATTAGGAGCTTATCCCATAATACTATGGAAGACTTTCCTCTATAACCGTTTTCAGTGACAACGCACTGATGGACTTTTAAAGAGCAAGGGGATCTTATACGTGGTCAGAATTGAAAAACTGTGACGCGCGAAACGATAGGAAAGTCGAAAGTACGCATCCTGCGTGTTCCGTAAAAATGACGTCGACGTTTTCAGGTCTGAGGTCCGATTTGGCCACCCCCGAGGATCCCCCCGAGCGATCTAACCGGTCGTGATGCGAAATCGATCGTGCTCGGGGGGAAAGAGGAGAGCAGGCTCGCATCCGACTGGGCTTTCCCGACGAGAGGCGTCTCCGGAAACGGCAGAATCCTTTTCGAGACGATCAACGGCGATCTCGGGGCAGCACGGGCGATCGGGATTCTCTCGATCTTGGCGGGCGATAACGGTCGATAGTAGCACGCGCAACGCGTTATTATCGTCGATCTCGATCCATTCCGGGATCCGCTCTGGGCGAGCCTGACGGGGCAATCGAGAGACAAAGAGCGGAAAGGCAGGGGGAATAATTAATCTCAGTGGTGCTAATTAGCCGCGACCCAATGCAATCTGTAAGCGGCGAGAAGACGCGATTAGAAACGGCATCGGCGGGCGGGACGACGCAAAGGATAATGCACAGGGTAGCGGTGATGGCCGCGGTGCAGAAGGCCCATCATAACAGCAGCAACGCTTACGGGGATGCGAGTAACGCCCCGCCGGAGCATAACGGCTCCTCGTCGACCAGCAGGAGCGGCCGCTTCGACGCGGATCTGCACGGCAATGTTAACATCCTTCTCGGTGGGTGAGTAACAACCGCGCCGGCCGGACAGACGTTCCGACAGCACCGACGTCACAAAATATAGACGGAAGATACGTCTCACGGCCCGAGCACGGCCTAATCCCAAGCTCTTTGAGGAGAGACGCGTCGTCCCTCACACACACATACACACGCGCGCGCCCTGGTCCCTTCAGTCCTCCGGAGGATTGTATCCGCACGTCAAACAGACCCGTTGCACGTGCGAGACACGGCGAAAGTATTGCCTTAGATAGCCGGTGGTTGAAAATTCAATGGTTGTTCCGCGGGCCAGCACGAGGGATTCCATCTGTGAGTCAAACTTGAGAGCACTGAGGAAAGATAACGTCGCTTTGAAATCCTTCCTCGTCGCAAAAATCTTATGAATCCGTTTTCACAAAAATGCGCAGTTCAACATGACGTAAACATCAACATGAAATTTATACTACTGTACATAAATAAAAATGCGGGACGATACATTACACGAATTAAACTGTTAAATTCGTGGCGATTCAGTTAGTCAAGTTTGGCTCAATGTGTTGTTACTCACTATGTCATTACTTTTAGCTATCGTGTGTAGTAAAATTTATTATTTTAACACAAATTGTAGTTAAAAGCACAACTACATTACCTTTCATTCAACCGAGTTTATGGATTCTTTTAACTCCGTTGAATTTTAGTGCATTAGTACTCTCTAAATGTCAATCAGTGGATTATCACTGAAAATCGCAGTGATATACTTGTAACTGTAAATCAGTGACTACTCACTGTTTTCAGTGATAATTCACCGATTGATTTTTATTAGAGAGTACACGGAGAGAATTCTCTCTTCAAATTTACCCCGAAAATCATGTAATCGTGGGACAACATGGCATTTTGAAGAACCTTATGAGGGTTTTTTGAAATTTTACCACACATTCTACCAGTAAAACGTATACTAAGTACAATTACACGGGAAAAAATGCTGTTAAATTTAAAAAAAATGAAATTGCTTAAATTAAACATTAACGTCACGTGCTGCCGCAAACATAAATAACTCGCTCGATTATATGTGCTATGGATTTTAATTTTAAGCATTGAACTAAATGTCCAGATTATTAAATTTGTCGTTCATTAACATTGATGTTGTTTCAACGATTTAATTTCAATTGCACTAATCTTGTCGATACATCATATTTTTTTGTGTATACACAAGTCAAACGTATGGTAAAATTTCAAAAAACTCTTATAAAATTCTTCGAAAGATCAAGCTGTCCCACAATAACATGATTTTCAGGATAAATTCTAAGAGAAAATTCTTTCCGTGTAGAGGCGCAGAAAAATTCAAAGCGCCATTGTTAAATCAGCGGCTAATGAATCTTTATCTTAAATTATTTTATTAGTAATTCGAGATAAGACGACGATTTACGATGAATAAAATGTTAGTTAAACGATTATCGCAATTACACTGGTAACGACGTATTATACAGGGTGTATATGTATTATACAGGGTGAGTCTTTCCATATCCGACAAAATTTTTGAGAAGGTAGAACGGATCGAGATGAATGGAAAAATCCTGTACCATTTTGCAATTTTCGTAATAGTTAACGAGTAATTAATTATTAAAAGTCGTTGTCTTAGGCCGGCCTACCGCCCAATTTGAGCGCGTGGCGAGATGTGCGCATAGCAATATCAATCGCCGGGCGGTCACATCTTGCCACGCGCTCGAATTGGACGGTAGGCCGGCCTAAGATAACGATTTTTAATAATTAATTATTCGTTAACTATTACGAAAATTGAAAAATGGTACAGGACTTTTCCGTTCATCTCGATCCGTTCTACCTTCTCAAAAATTTTGTCGGATATGAAAAGACTCACCCTGTATATCGGCGACAAGATGCTTGCTTCTGCAAATTACCTGCCGCAACGAACTTCTATACGTACCAAAAAAAAAAAGACGTAATCTTTCGATTTAACACCTATCGAGGCACAAAGAAACACCTATATATCTCTTTTTCGTTAAGAGGCAGGTTCTTTTTATTAAATCGCCGTAAAAGGTTAACCCGGCGAGATGCAGCAGGTGTTAAAAGTGACTGTTTTATACTTGGCCGCGTTCAAAAATTTCTCCCGGAGGGGAAATCGCACGCTCACTTTTCCACCAGCCGCCCGCCCTTTATACCGGGCCACGCTTTTTCTCCTTGGGCATACGGGCACCTCCCAGCACAAAAAGCACCGTCTAAACATCGTCTATATTGGTCCGCTTTTAGCGCCATGATCAGCGGTGTGATCATGATGGTGGTGCTCATATGCTATTGCTGCCACAAAAACGTCCGGAAGCATCGACCGCAGGAATATTCGCAGTACTGGAGGGCCGAGCCGGACATTCACAGTCTCGAAGTCTTCACCATGGACACGCACGTAAGCGGCATTTTCGATCATGCCAATCGCGAGTATTATCGCGCGAGTATATCACTTTTACATTTCCCGGGCATAAATCGTCGCGAGACGTCTATAATTCTTTGTGACTCGCGCTGACGTTCCTCTATCTGCGCGAAATCGTTAAACGAAGCCATGGAAATCATGAGAAAATATCTAAGAAATCTCGTATGAAAATATCGAGGGGGAAACCGCTGAGGGCATTGTGGTGTACAGATTCGCGGCATTACTGGGCATTTGTTGGGCATTAGTTTGGGCATTGGGCCCCTTGCTGGGGCATAATAAAAATAAAATAAGATAATAAGATAAAGTAATGCCCACTGGACATTAGTGGGCATTGTGGTTTCCCCCTCGGTGCCTACTAATGCCCAGTGGGCATTACTTTATCTTGTTTTATCTTATTTATCCTGTTTTATCTTTATAATGTTCCAGCAAGGCCTAATGCCCAAAGAATGCCTAGTAGTGCCCAGTAATGCCGCAACTCTGTACACCACAATGCCCTCAGCGGTTTGCCCCTCGAAAAATATGATATACACATATACAGGGTGTACCGCAATTCGTGACCGAAATTTTCATAACGTATTTCTGAGCAAAAAGTAAGACGAAAATCCTAATACGAAAATGTCGAGGCTATAATACTTTTCAAATGGGAAGCATTTATAATAGACAAATCAGGTAGTCTAAAGTTCGCGCGTTCAGGGACGGTACATTGCATAGTGATAAAGGTACTCTTGCATTTTTGCCGATATACCTAAAAAAATTTAAGTAATTATATGTACAATGATGCTGATGTTATTGATTGAGTTATATTTAAACATGAAAAAATAAAAAATAATACATTAAAAATAATAAATATGAGAAGTTGTCCACATGAGAAGTTGTCAACTTATGAAATGTCACAGACAATTTATATGGTAAAAATATTTTCTTCAATATCGATTTATATTGAGGTTATTTTTTTAATATGTAGATAAGGTAGATTTCATATTTTATTCAATTTAGCAATGCGTAATGGAAACTATATGTTGATACAAACGCGAAATTTATTAGCAAAAGTAACAGTTTTTTTTCTATTGAATATTATAGTTCTGTTGTGCTACTATTAATACTATGAGATATTGTATTTGTATAATAACGTTTATTTAAAAGTTGTTACAACATATGTTCAAAATGCCCTCCGCCCAATTCTACACAATTCTATAGTATCTCGTAGTAGTACAATTAATAGTAGTACAATAAAAATATAATAATTAATAGAAAAAAGTTTGTTACTAGATTTGTTAATAAATTTCGCGTTTGTATCAACATAGTTTCCATTAGGCATTGCCGAATTGTATAAAATGTGAAATCTATCTTATCTACATATTAAAAAAATAACCTCAATATAAATCGATATTGAAGAAAATATTTTTACCATATAAATTGTCTGTGACATTTCATAAGTTGACAACTTCTCATGTGGACAACTTCTCATATTTATTATTTTTAATTTTTAATTTTTTTATTTTTTCATGTTTAAATATGACTCAATCAATAACATCAGCATCATTGTACATATAATTACTTAAATTTTTTTAGGTATATCGGCAAAAATGCAAGAGTACCTTTATCACTATGCAATGTACCGTCCCTGAACGCGCGAATTTTAGACTACCTGATTTGTCTATTATAAATGCTTCCCATTTGAAAAGTATTATAGCCTCGACATTTTCGTATTAGGATTTTCGTCTTACTTTTTGCTCAAAAATACGTTATGAAAATTTCGGTCACGAATTGCGGTACACCCTGTATGTATATGCAAAACTTTGATATTGTCTCACTGTAATAACAGCGTGTGTTAAAAAATTCCATATCTGCTGACGATCAAATGAAATTTTAAATCCAATCATATATAAATTCTCGATCCAAAACTCATCGGCGCGTATTCGTTTACACGTTTGATATTTGGTCCACGAGTAAGGCTTTTATATCAAAGATAAAGGACTTGAAAAAAAAATCGCCTATCTTCGGTATAAAAAGGTCTCATGTACCGTTCCAAAAATATTTTTCCCCGGATCTGAGGGGTTCTGCGTAACGTTATATGAGACTGCTCTTAAATCATGGCATCTACACGACGGGAAACGTGCGCCCCGCTTATTTCCACCTGCCGACCTTTTACGCAACCTCTCGTAGTCGCTCACCTTTGTGGTTACGCCCGCAATTAAATAAAAATTCGCATATCTCGCGGAAACCACGCCCTCGCGTTACACGTAAAGGCACGAGCGCGAGAACATCGGAGCTGAAATGCTGCGCCGCAATGCGACAACGTGCATATGCTTCTTCGCACCTTCAGACCTAGAGACCGCCTCGAGCACAGACACGACGTATAATACACAAGGATAAGAGGCACGAGAAATAAGGCGCAATTTTATCAATCGTAATGAAGCATTAAAATAAATCAATGTTATTAAAATTAACGATAGATCTACTCTCTAAAAGTCAACCAGTGGATTATCACTGAAGTATACCACTGAAAATCGCAGTGGTGTACTTGTAACTTTAAATCGGTGACTATTCACTATCTTCTGTGATAATTCACCGATTGACTTTTAAAGAGCGCATAATCCATATCGTTACGATTAAGATGTAAAAAACACAGATATAAAAAGCACGAAAGATAAAAACAAACCGACCTTATTACGAAGTCTTTTATACATCGTTTCTCGCTCCGAACATTTTCTAGCAGTGTTTCACCGTTATATACAGGGTGTCTGATGCAAAAGTAGCCACTTTGCAAATAGCGGTAGATTGGGTTAAACTAAGGAGAAATATCATGTACCGAGGTACAAAGTAATAATAGTTACCGACAAAGAAATTTATACGTTTGAGCGAATGAGGATGCAGGAGACGGTAGGCCGGACTCGGGAGGCATTTAAGAAAATCGATCGATGAGCGGGAGGTGGAGCGACGCGCGAGATACACCGTGGTGGGAAAAAACCTAGGCCCGGCGGGGAGCGCGGCGCGGGCGGAGA